CTACAGATTGACATAGCCTGTCTGCTAATTTTAATGGCTTTCGATCTGTATTCGTGTCATAGTTTGCTTAGCTTTTCTCTAGGTGTTAGACAGTCTGGTATTCAGCGTTACTAACTGTGGTGGTGTAAACATCTGTATCAATCACCCTTCCCTCTTCTGAGTTATTTCTTTGGGCTATATTCCCAAATGAATCAAAGAGCATAGACAGTTCAGTAAGTCTGCTCATTTAGATCATTGCCTAATAAATGACGATACCTTAAGAATCATAACAGTTCTGTGGATATTAATGGATACTCTAGTGGTCATGTTAGGATTGATTTTTATTGTGACCTTCTCCCAGGGTTTATGAATGTAACAAACGCTGCAAATGTGATCCAAACATGTGCACAAACCGGTTGGTGCAGCATGGACTGCAGGTTCGGCTGCAGCTCTTCAAGACCCAGAACAAGGGCTGGGGTATCCGCTGCTTGGATGACATTGCGAAAGGCTCCTTTGTCTGTATTTATGCAGGTTGGTGATGAAATGAAAGGGTTGCTTTCTGAGGTTAGGACATGGTGGGAAGTTGAGTCAAAGACAAGTTAACATTAGAATAAGATGCTTGACATGTGAACTGGGAGAAAGAGGAGGCCAGGATTTTCTTTTGTAAAGAACATGAGTGACGTGCCTGTCTGGGTGGATCAGGAAGGGGCAAAAGTGCTTCATGAGGACGAGAACGAAAAGGGATGAAATTGTGGACATGATGCTTCAGAGGAGAGACATGATAGTAGAGTCCAGTGTATCACTTTTTCCTACATCACTCTACTCCACCCGGAGATCTTTTAGCATAACTCAAAAACTCTCTTTAGGTAAACAAAGTAAAAAGGAAGAATGGGAAGGCAGAAAGGGCAAGATTTAAAGCTATAGTGAGCTCCCCTTACTCTCATAGTTAAGACACTAAGGAGGAGGTACTGTCACACAGAAATGAGAGACCGTGATGGAGGTGATTTGGCTCTCTGTGCTGGTAGGCTGCATATTGATGGAATGAACCTTGTTCTTTCAATCTGGGAGGCCTTTCTCTTCATTTCCAGGCAAAATCCTGACAGATGACTTTGCAGACAAGGAGGGCCTGGAAATGGGTGATGAGTACTTTGCCAATCTGGACCACATCGAGAGCGTGGAGAACTTCAAGGAAGGATATGAGAGCGATGCCCCCTGTTCCTCTGACAGCAGTGGTGTAGACTTGAAGGACCAGGAAGATGGCAACAGCGGTACAGAGGACCCCGAAGAGTCCAATGACGATAGCTCAGATGATAACTTCTGTAAAGATGAGGACTTCAGCACCAGCTCGGTGTGGCGCAGCTATGCTACCCGGAGGCAAACCCGGGGCCAGAAGGAGAATGGAGTGTCTGAGATGCCTTCCAAGGACTCCCGCCCCCCCGACCTTGGGCCCCCACATATTCCTGTCCCTCCACCAATCCCTGTAGGTGGCTGCAATCCACCTTCCTCTGAAGAGACACCCAAGAACAAGGTGGCCTCGTGGTTGAGCTGCAATAGTGTCAGTGAAGGTGGCTTTGCTGACTCTGACAGCCGTTCATCCTTCAAGACTAGTGAAGGGGGGGAAGGCCGGGCTGGGGGAGGCAGAGGGGAGGCTGAGAAAGCCTCCACCTCAGGGCTGGGCTTCAAGGATGAGGGCGACGTCAAGCAGGCCAAGAAAGAGGTAAGCAATGGCAGGGAGCTCTGAGAACTGTGACTTCTGTGTAACTTCGGTTCAGTAACAAACTTCATGCCATCTCACCATGAGTCTTCACATGTACATTATTTACTTGATGGCTATTTCTGTGGGAAACCTGATTAATATCCCCCCTCTACCCCGCACATTCCTGCTGTTTGTTTAAAGAACCAAATTATTTTAAAATCAGCCTGCTGCAGGGAGAATGTCTGATTCATTCCAAAGCGAAGGGTTTAGAAGTAATTTTTTAAATTGCTATTTCATCACTGCTTTCTTCTATTGTAGTAGAAATACAAATAATTGGCTTTACATACATTTTTAATGACGTTGAAACTTACCACGTTACAGGTGGTGCCGTATCCCTCGTCCTTGTAAGATTCTGCTCATGGGATTTTCCGTGAATGTGTTCTAATGCCCTGTCACTGGGAAGTGTTCAAGACCCCTCCCAAGGGGGCTTCTTGATGAAAATGATTGTTACTGTCAAGTTGCAGAGGAGTTTCTCCACACACACCCTGCTTTAGTGTACCTCTCACTGGCTGAGGTCTTTGGAGGTCATTTGAGATGCAGACGTTTAACATGTTGATCACCCCTGTGGATCGAGTGCCCATGAGGAGACATGACTATCACCCAGATCTGGGTGACGTGGCGATCAACGTGTTAACCCTTCACTTGTTCTCTTTTCCAGGACCCTGATGACCGAAACAAGATGTCAGTGTAAGTGCCTCTTTTTTTTTGACCTGTTTCCAAATCTACCTTCTCTCAAGCCTACAAAAGTAACCTAAGAAACAGCCAATAACCCGACCCCTCTCATGTCTTCTTCTCTCATCAGAGTTACTGAAAGCTCTCGAAATTATGGGTACAATCCTTCTCCCGTGAAGACTGAAGGACTTCGCCGCCCACCAAGTAAGACTAGTATGCATCAGAGCCGACGACTCATGGCCTCTGCTCAGTCCAATGCTGATGTAAGTGACCTTTCTCGAGCTGTACCTCACCCAGTCTTCTGTTTTATTCAGAGTCTGAGCAAAGGAACGCTGTCCTTAGCTCGAGTCCTTCACCATAATTACTGTTAGGTCTTTCCTTGTTTCTTTGGCCTTGACTTCTTGCCTCATTTTCCTTCATCCAACATCTGATCTTACTCTAGTCTAGCTCCTTCCTGCCTGACCATAGGCAGGACTCAAAGGGGCCCCCTCCATTTACTCTTCCTTCTTTTCACCTTCTGCCTCCCCAGGATATCCTGACGCTGTCCAGCAGCACAGAAAGCGAGGGGGAAAGTGGGACCAGCCGAAAGCCCACTGCTGGGCAGACTTCAGCCACAGCCGTTGACAGTGATGATATCCAGACCATCTCCTCTGGCTCTGAAGGGGATGACTTTGAGGACAAGAAAAACATGTCTGGTAGTCTGGAAGAATTTGGGGGGTTATAGGAAGGAACCAGTAGGAAAGTTGGGATAGAGGATTTTTTTTAAGTAAGCTAAAGAAGTTGGGGGGGAAATTCAGATCCTAAGAGTTGAAGCATCTCTGGGAGGGCTCCCTGACTCCCAGCAAACTGTTAACCTTGTTTAACACGTCCCCTTCCTCTCTTCTTTCCAGTTCCCTACTCTACCCTCAGCTCCTTTAGCCAGTAGATCTAATCTTGCTTGAAAAAGCTGCCCCTTAGGCTCCTTGCCTTAGAGTGCCAGCTTATTGGTGTTATAGGGCTGCACTGGCATGGATGAAAACGCAAGTGGAGTGTCTGGTCATGAGGCAGGACGGGTCTAACCCCGTTCTCCTTCCTGTCTAGGTCCAATGAAGCGCCAAGTGGCAGTAAAATCAACCCGGGGTTTTGCTCTTAAATCAACCCATGGGATTGCCATTAAGTCAACCAACATGGCGTCCGTGGAAAAGGGGGAGAGTGCTCCTGTTCGTAAGAACACACGCCAGTTCTACGATGGTGAGGAGTCTTGCTACATCATTGACGCCAAGCTTGAAGGCAACCTGGGCCGCTACCTCAATGTGAGACCCCTTTCCTTCACCTTTATGTGCTGATTATCCCATGGTTCTCAAATTTCTAGTTCTTTTAGTGCAGCTATATAAACTCACCTCTTCTTGCCATAAGTTCTTGATCTCAGAGGATCTTAAAGAGGTGGCTTTCTTTGAAAACTTCTGTCTGTGATGTGGAGGATCAGTTGGCATTGTTTTCATCCAACTTTCATTCACCCCATAAAACCAGATTCTGTTTCCTTAGTTCTTACTGGATCCTGTCCTTAAATCTACAGCACAGTTGCAGCCCCAACCTGTTTGTCCAGAATGTCTTCGTGGATACTCATGATCTTCGCTTCCCCTGGGTGGCCTTTTTTGCCAGCAAGTAAGAAGGAGTCAGGAAAGGGGATGGTTGGGTAGGAAAAGCAGCCCACGGTTGGGAAGGGGCAGAACTACTGAAATTCTAAGGGCCCCTCCTCTATCTGTGATCCAGCTCCACCTGCACAGCTCTGCCACCCCAGGCGCCTGGGTTCTTTGCTGTCTTCACCACCCCCTTCCTTTTCTTCCTTTTCAGGAGAATCCGGGCTGGGACAGAACTCACCTGGGACTACAACTACGAGGTGGGCAGCGTGGAAGGCAAGGAGCTGCTGTGCTGCTGTGGGGCCATCGAATGCAGAGGGCGTCTTCTTTAGAGGGCAGCCTCCTTCCTAACCTGAACCCTTCCGGAACTGCCCTTTCCTCAGGAACTGGGTCTTCCTGACTGCTGAATTCTGACCCCCCCAACCCAAGTCTCCAGTCTAGCTATGCCCCCAGGTCCTAGTAGATAGAAATGGGGGTTCTGGATCAGGAGATCTCTTCCACTGTGGTGCTAGCAGGCAGGCCCCCTCCTCCACCTCCTAAGGCACCTGGGGTGGGAAAGGTTACCACTCTACCCTGGGCCTGACGTCCCTTCTGTCCTCCTGTTGCTCACCCTTCCCATCCTATCTTTGTTTGTGTCCATGCTTCTAAAAGACTTTATGCCTGGAATGAGGGCTGTATATTTTACTATCCCTGGTTTGTATTGTTTCTTGAAAGTCTTTTAACAAGATGTTAAAACTAAGATTGTGATTTGATTTCTCTCCCTCAGCTCCCACTTCTGGGTCTTTTGATGAGAGGCCTGTTTTTCCCATTTTTCCCAGTGGGCAGCTGTCATTAGTCTTGACCCTTCTCTGCTTTTCCTTATTGGCCATATGAAATTTTAAAATGTTACATAACCATTAGGAAGGCATGAGGAATACTACCTTAGTTTATTTAGTTGATCCCTCTTCTCGGTTCTTAATAGTCTCAAACACTTGTTGCCATGTTTTACTTAATCTTTAATATATTTTAATTAAAAAAAACCCATTAACAGTACATTTTGGTCTGAAGTGGTCCCTCTGCTGAAATGCCAGGTGCTAGCTGTCATTCTGGCTTTAAAACCAAAACCCCAAACATTTAATAAATAAAAATTAGAACTAGTTGCCATTCTACTCCAAACCAGCTAGCCTAGGGAAAGAGGCCAGAGAAAGGAGGCAGTAAGATCCTGGACCTGTAACTGCAGGACAGCTGGCCGAGAAGTAACAAGACTGAGTAGTCCCCAGTGTGGCCCCCACTTTTTGGCAGAGGTAGGATAAGGGTCGTGTGCACCCTCCTACACTCAATTCATTTGTATCTTAGGAGGGAAGAAGTTAAAGTCAGCTCAGCTTTGGTTTCTGGTCCGAGTTAGGGAGCTTAGAAAGGTGAGCCCTGGTCCAGCTTTGGCAGAATGAGGCCCACAGGTAGGACAGTAAGGCACGACCCTGGCTCTGGAGGTCAGGGAGTCAAAGGCAAACAGCTAGGGCCCAATTCTGAAGAATAAGGAATGTGAGTTGTAACCCCATCCCCAGCACTGAGGAAAGGTCTTGAAATAGAACAGACAATTTGGAAAATAGAGAGGAAAATAAGACCATCCCCCCTCTAACCAAGGATACAGCCGACCTCCCCTTTCCTGGGGGCAGGCTGGGTGGAATTTGGCTTAAAGGCAACTGGGTGACAGGGAAGCAGGGGGTGGGGGCACAGAGAAGAACACTCTCCTCTTCTCCTTTCTCCCCAGGGCTTAAAGTGACCCTGTGGGGAGGGTGGGGTAGTTCCTTGGCTTTATGCAGTAATCTGAGGGGCAGCAGGGACAATGTTTCAGTCATTCTTACGATGGTTGTTATTGAGGAGAGGGTGGCCATTAGCTAGGGGCCGGCTCTTTGCTCCTCCCCCGGCTGCAGCCTCCTCCCCCTCCGAGCTCTCTGTCTCTTCCCGGTCACTGCGTTCGTCTTCTACCAGCTGTGGAAAGGGTGGAAAGGGTTACAAACCCCCACGGACTGGCTCTATATATACTTTTCCAGCTGTACCCAGAGCCCCACCGTAGTTTTTAGAGGGTTGCTGGTATGGGCAGGAATTTGGGCAGTTTCTGGAGTGGAGGGTAGTAGGGCCCACAAAATACGGAGACAGCCTTTACCTTTCCAGTTACGAACTTGTGGGCCATGCGCAGGATGAAGTAGGCCCAGAAGATATGCAGCAGCTGCAGCACTCCCATCATGAAATTGAAGAAGTAGTAGCCAAAGAAGGCGGGGTAGAGCTCCAGTGGGTACACCACAGTGCAGTGCAGGATCCTAGGATGGGAAGGGAGAGACCAGAGCTGTGAACACAGCAAGGAGGGGGTTAAGTGGAGAACAGATAAATAGGGAAGAGGGGGCAAGACTCCTGATTCCTTGAGAACCAGAGTACAGTCTGGCCACCTACTCACCAGAAGGGCAGGATGACCAGGCGGGTGATGATGAAGACAATGGCGAAGACGATGAAGATGTTGTTGCAGGTGTTTTTCCATCCCGCGTAGTTAAACATCTTGGCTGACTGCATAGATAGCCCCCACCTGTCATCATGGGCTCCTGACTCTCCCAGTCACATGTACAGCCCGTTACCACACTGGTTCTGTGCTGCCCACCGCCTTGGTCCCTGGAATGTGGAACCCCCCACCACCCCAAATCAAGGATAGAGGAACAGAGAACCTGCAGGTGAGAAGAAATGCCCAGGGAGCCTGACCTCTAGCAGGTAGTCAGAAGAGTCATGCAGAGCCATGATGAGAGTCCCTGCTCGGACATAATTGGCAAACCAGGAGAAGCTGATGAGGATGATGGTGGCCACATGGTGGATGATCTGTTCCTTGAAATCCTGTAGAAAAGATGGTCTCCTGAGGACTTTTTCCTGTTTCCTAGCCCCCATTATTCTTTTTCCTCCCCCTCACTGTTAGTTCCACTTATCCCACAACTCCATCCAAAGCACCCAGAAGTCAAGGGGAAGGCTGTTCATCCCAGGGCTTCATTTGGGCTCCTAGGCTTAATGGCACAGTCCCTTGACCTACCTTTCGCTTGACATCAGAGGCAATGCTGAAGAGCAGGGACCAGTAGAAAGAGAGTTCAATCATGTAGTACCAATACTGGGAAGGGATGGTGCTCTGGGAGAGAGGAAAGAGAAAGGTAAGGGACACCAGAGCAACTGGACGCAAGAGTCTCACCTCTCCAAACCCAGCCCTCTGGCCCCCGAGTTTGTGTTTAGCATCGTGTTATGACTCCAGTCCCTTCTGCCGCGTGTTCTGGAGATGCTCTCTTCACGAGGATGTGTATGTCCTAATCCTGTCCTACAGCGATTCTCTTAAATCCCCCCTTGTAAGGAATCAGGACCCATCTCGTACCTGTATGGGATATCCCTCCCAAACTTTCCTCATGTCATAGAACCAAGGTTTCTGCAAAGAGATGGTGAGAGGTTAAAAGAGAAGGGACCCAAATTCTGTGACCTCACCCCACCCTGCCAGAGAACCTACTCCCACCTCCCAGTAACCCCCACTCACGTCAACAATAACGGCCATGCCCACAATAAAAGCGATCAGGTAAAATGTGAATCTCCAGCTGGAAGAGGAAGCAGAAATGGCTGGGAGAGTGGGGTGGGAGAACCGCACAGCCCTGCAACCAGCCCCCAGGTACACCTCCCCCAGATTCCCACCTTTCCCTCCTCACCTGGGTGCAGTCTCTGCATAGAGCCACGGCCCACCCCTCCCAGGAGGACACATCAGACTTTACTCTGCCACCCAGCTTCTCTGGCCCCAACCTCCCCTACCTCGCTTCTCGGAACTTCTTGAGGAGACTGGGCCGGTCCTGGTTGCGGCGGCGGCGGAACCAGCGCTCCACCTGGCGGCCAGAGAGCCCGCTCTGCCGCGACAGAAGGTCCACCTCCGCCTGGGCGCAGTGAAGAAGCCCATTACGATCGGCTTCAGAACTCAGCAGCACCCACCCTCCACCCTCTACCAGTGATGACCCAAGTCAGGCCTGCTGTCGTCCCATCTCTTCACCCGCCAGAGCTGGCCTTCCAACCCCATCCCCTGCCCACTGCCCACCGGAACCCGGTAACTCCCAGACCAGAGTCTGCGGCTCACACCTGTTTGGGCTGCTTGCCGCTAGTCACGTAGAAATGCTCCAGAATGGGGTTGGAAGGTGCCCGCAGCCGAGTTTTCTCCTTTACGTTCAGGAGGGCAGCCAGCGGTGTAGCCACGTAACTGGGGGAGGGATGTGAGTGACAAATGTCTGGCTCTCTTGAAGCACCACAGTCTCCCGGTAGCTTCTAAGCGGGGTCGGGGGCGGGCAGGGCACAACAAACTGCAAACTCAGGCAACTATTCCTGGGCCTCAGTTTCCCGGCAGGCCCTTCTCTGGCTCCCTTGGGCTGCCCATGGCTGACAAAGCTGTCTGTGTTCACTAGTGACCAGGCGGGGTAGAGGGTGAGAACAAATAACCATTGAAGGAAAGGGCCTGGGGGTGCTGAGCCCTCAGAAAGACAATGCTGCCTTCAGTGGGGGGCACAGAGTAGGCTGGGACCTGGGTGGTGAGAATACCAGGGTCCAGGACCAATTAAACAGAGACAGACTTGAAGTACAAGAAACTGTGTGGCTGGCACCCACGGAAGGCATAGGGGCGGGTCGGTATGCTCACAGCTCAAAGAAGTATCGAACGATGAGGAAGAGCAAGGCCAGGGGTAGTGTGATGTAGAGGTCTGAGGCTTTGGCATAGACACGTCCATCTCGGTCTTCTAGATCAGCCCAGGTTAAGTTCGCAGGCAGCCACAGCCGTTCCCACCAGAAGTAGTCATACAAGGTCTGGAGCATCCTGAGGGAGGAGGGAAAGGTGGAGCGTATCAAAGAGGGCAGCAAGAGGGGAAGAGACAGATGAAGGTCTTCATGGTATAGCAAAAAGAACAGGGGCAAAGACGCAAGCCCTGGATTCTGGTCCTGGCCATGTAGGCAAATCAGTTTCCCCACCTACAATAAAGTGGCTTCCAAGTCTAACATTTACTATTTACATCAACCAAAGGTGACGCTAACACTACCACCACCCCCCACCACCCCCACCTGTTTCCCTAGATTTAACAACCCGGGGGTCTCCCCATCATTTTGCTGTCCTCACATGGAGGACAGACAGGATCTTGCCCTAGATGCTATAGCCAATAAATCTCAAGTCAGAGGCGCCCTCTCCCCACTACTCTCCAGCCACCCCTGTTATCCCCCAAGCCAACCTATAAATGGAAGCTCCCTTGCCAGGGAAGCCCAAAAACAGGTTGCAGGGCTGGGGCAAGCCCTTCCTCCTTCTTCCTTACAACCCAGCGGGGCAGCAGGTCCTAGGGAAAATTGAGAGGCCAGAGTATTATGCCCCCAACCAATGCTGAGCTCCAAGATAATCGATGGACATCAAACTCCTGCACACAAGATTAACACATATGCCAAGCCATCCAGTCCCTACACATCAGGCAGAAGAACCCTGTCTGAAGCCTCTTCTCAGAAACAAAATGAAGGCTAGGCTGCCGAAAGTCAGGGATTGGGAGACAGAAAATCGAGACAGCGACTAAGACATCTGGTGGAATTAGGAGCTATTTCTTATTAAGGCTCATCTGGAAAGTATGATACTAGCCTGCGGGGGAACACCTGTCACAAATACCTGCAGCCCAGGAAAGAGCGGCTGCTTTCCCCAGGCTCTGCCTTCCCTCCACTGCAAGACAAAGGCTCTACAGGGTGGTAGCAACCACTTAAACACTCAAATGAGGGAGGGGATGGTGTAGGGCTCATGTGGAGTTAGCAGCTGCTTGGGGCTGAAAGCAGCAGCAAGGATGAAGATTCAGTGATGCTGAAACCAGCACAACACCTGGCAGTCCTGGGACTCAGAGTGAACCCAGGATGATGGCAAGGGCGGTACCTTCCAGGCTCCCTACCCTTCATCCTCCCGGGAGGATAGATGAATGGTATCCAGACTGGCCTTGAGACTAAAAGCTGACACGGAAGAAAGGTGGTCCTCTCCCAGCCAGGGAGGACAGAGACTGAGGAGATCATTTTCTGCTGTGAACTGGAGACCAAGTGGTGCCGCTCTCCGGCTGAAGGTTGATCAGATCACAGCTGAGCTGGGCTGGTTCTCCGGCCCTGCTCCTCAGACAGCTCCGCCTCCACCCACCGCAGAAGCACTTGCGAAATCCCTCTCAGCCTGTCACGGGTCAGTATTCCAGCTCAAGGACTTTACCCTCTTGTCCCCACTCCTGGTCACTGCTCTCGGATGAAATCAGAGGTCAGCACTGACAGTGAAGGAGCTTCAGCTCCACCTTCCCCCAGTAACACACACACACATTCCAGGCCTCAGCTCCCGAGGGCACTGCCCCTACCCCCTCCACCTTAGCCAGAATAAATATTTAATTAGTTAAAGAGATGGAAGCCTTTTGAACCGAACAAAATTAAACATAATTATCCACAGAACTCTCTCCAAACAACCATGTACAAACATACACTTTTTTCCTAGAGAAAAGTTATAGAAAATCTAGTAGAGAAGGGACCAGGCAGAATGCCTGGATGTGGTGGCACACCTCTGGCTCTTCCTTTCCACCTTTTTTCCTTAGCCTGACTGGAGGTGAGGAAATAAACCTTGAACCAGTCACCTGACTGCTATGTCTCCTTGTAGTTCAACCTGTCCTCCACTGAGGTCTAAAGTCAAGGCTACTGACAGGGCTAGAAGTTGGGTCCCATCCCCACCCTGGTCAGTGGGAACCTGCACATTAGTATCTCTTGTCACTGATACTTTGAGGATTAAAGATTCAGAGAGCTGGCGGGGGTCCTGGAGGGTACAAGCAGAGTCCCTGTCCCTGACTCCTGGGGCCCAGGAATGTCTTACGCCAGTCTGATCCCTACACAAAGAAGGTGAGGAGCTGGGGAACTGGCAGAGAAACTGCCAAAGAGATGGTCAAGGGCAAGCGCCTGGATAGCGCAACTATCTCAACCCCCGGACGAGACAGCACCTGCCCTCCTCCTGCTCCACGCAGGGAGAGTGGAAGATAGCGTGAGCATGATGGGTCTGGAGTTCAGAAATGTAGGTTAATGCGGGCGCTCTCACACCTGGGTTTCAGGCTTTCTGCGCCCACAGTCCTCCTGCGCTGCCTACTGCCTCCATTAGCAGAGACGCAGCTACCCCGTCCCCGCCTCCCTGGCCCCAGGGCTGAGCCCAGCAGAGGGAGGCACCAGATTTGGCAGGGTCAGGACTTCTGACTTAACGTAGAGGGGGAGGGAAGGCAACAGGGGCTCCTAGCTGGCCTCACTTACACACCCCGAAGAACAGAACGTGCGAGTCTGCTCCCAGGGGCATCCCTGGCGGCTGCCTGGTACCAGCACACCAAGCCAAGCAAGGGATCCTATAAGCAAAAGGCTGGGGCAGAAAAGGGGGATGTGCCCTCGGGATAGGGAGACAATTTGGCTTTTCTTGGGGCATGCTGGCCCTCTGGACAGGTATTTGATTTTCTGGTGGAGAAAACCACACTTATATTTTTCCAATCATAGGATTTACTCCCCACCACACATGAAGAGACAATTGGGTGTGTGAATATGTACGTCTTTCTCACACACACCCCACCACACACACCTGCCTCAGAGAGGCAGACACCACTTTCTGGGACAAGGCTGGAGAGGGGCCAGCAGAGCAAGGATTTCATGGGCATTGGATTACCAGGAACTTGAACAGGGCTCTGCCTAGTCCCCACCTTTTGCCCCAACCCTGACAGACCCATCCCAGACCCTCAGAGTTGAAAAGGGGCAGGGGGTTCTCCTGGGGGCTTGTAGACCAGAGAACTGGGAGGGAAGAAGTTTGAGTCTGTGAGGAAGGGATCTCACAGACTCAATGTGATAACAGTAACAGTGGCTCTCAGAATTTGCAGGAATAATTGAGGAAAATATAGTTAGATCAGCAAGGAAGGAGACAGTGACAAAGAGAGGGTCCCACAGGATGTCAGCTTCCACTGAAGCCTGGGGGACACAAAAAAAGAAGTAGAAGAGGACCTGAATAGTCCTCCTCGTTGAAAACTTTTCCAGGCAGCAACAGCGAGTTAGGAACAGGCTGCAAGCAATGGATGCAGCCAAGAAGAGGTGGGTCATTGCTCCAGGCTGCAGTATAGGTCCCAAAATTTAGGTTTTTTTGGGGGGGGTGCCCCACCAGAGGCCCTAACACACCCCAATACTGCATAAGACTACAGCCCCCAGGAGCAGGGAAAGGGTGGCAGGTTGAAGAGGGGGTGGTGCTGAAACCGTAAAGGGTTAGCCAGCCTGTGGCCAGTGACGGAAGAGCGGAGGCCCTTTCTCCCAGGGGGAAAGCTGGCCAGAGGCCCCAGTGAAGGGAGTGGACTGTGGGTACCAAGGAAGACAAGGAACTCTCTTCAGGACATTAGAGTCAGTGCAGTGCACTGCATGATTAGGGCCAGGCCCTGAGGGAGGAGGCTGCTGACAAGTCCTTACCCTTAGAAGCCCCATCGCAAGTGCAGTCAGCCACCCACATTAGGCCCAGTCACCTGGACTCTGGTATGGGACAGTGACCCCTCCAACACAGATGTAGGAGTGACTGTCTGCTGGAGGCCTTCCCTGATTCAATGCCCTGGGAAGAAGGGCTCACTCCGTTCCTCAGGATCCTCAGAACCCTCTGAGTTTTGGACTTGGCAGCTCAGGTGATTGAGACCAGATTTTGATACCAAGAGCCTGGACTGGGGAGAAAATGAATCCCCAAGCTCAGGCCAAATATTAGTACCACACACCTGCAATTAACCTACTTGCCGGAGAGCCTCTGAGCCAGTAATTAACTAGGTGAAGCCCAGAAAACCAGTTTCACCAGCATCCTCCCCCCGCACCCCAACCCCCGCCCTCACTCCATAACGGTATAGGATCCTTAGCCTTGGGGGACCGGGACAGACACTCAGAGCCACTCCTTCCTGTTTCCCGTTAAGCACATGGACGCTCTGACCGCCCTCCCGGAGTGGGCACAGTGGGCGGGTAAGAAAAAGCGGCAAGACCCTCCACTCTCCTCCCACTCTCGCCACGGGCTGTCTGGGCCAGGGGCCCCGCTGCGAGCCGGCTGCCAGGCAGGGGGCTCTCGCGCAGGTGGCCACCGGGCTTGTCCACT